TCAGCAGCAGAGTGGTGTTTAAAGACACTGGACTGCAGAACAGCTCCATCGTGATCAGGGAGGTGACGGAGGAGGATGAAGGCTGCTATTATTGTTTGTTTAACACCTACCCTGATGGTGCTCTCGATGCTACAACCTGCCTCAAACTCTACGGTCAGTACCTGCTTTAGTAATACAACACATTCATGTCATCCCTCGAGTTTCTTCTATAACTTTCATCTTGTATTTTCAGAGCTGCATGAACCCGTCCTACATGTGAGAGAATCAAACTCTTCTGAAGAGGTCGTTGTTTCCTGCTCGGCTACGGGTCGACCCGCCCCCACTGTGACAATAACGCTCCCTCACCAAGACTTGAACTTCTTCCACAACACTTCTGTCTCAGTCAGGAACAACAACAGTACAGTCACCGTCACTGAGACAGCTGTGCTCTCTCGTCGTCATGACAACAGCACACAGGTCGGGTGCACAGTAGGGGGCTCCTATGGCGTTCACAAAGAGGTGTTTAAGATGATCCCTGAGGTCAAAAAGTCGCTCCCTGATGAAAAGTCAGGAGCTAATAGCAGGAGTCGCAGTAAGTAAATGATCAGATGTAGATTCTTTAAAGTTTGTCTGCATCATTTTAAACATTTTCTCCTCTTTTTCCCCTCAAAGGTACAACTTTAATCATTATATCATCAGCTTTAACAATCTGTGGTATCATCACTGCAGTCGTCTTCCTCCGGCGTAGACACAAACCTCAGAACAGGTACTTCTTCTAATCAATACTTATGTGTAAGTTTTAAAATCTATAAATGTTTGTCCTCCTCTAACTGTTCTGAAATCCTTCAATCTGTCACACGAGGTCCATATGAATGAGATACCAGGAACTACAGATGAACACCCTCAGAAGTAAGAAACCATTAGTTCTCTTAAATCTGTTACATTTTGTACGTCCTGCCTTCCTCCATATCTTCCTACTCAAAAAAAACAAATCCTAAAGTATGACTTCTATTGAGAGATTAGTTTATATGTTTTGTTTTCTTTCTGAAGGACCCAAGAGTCTCCACAGGAGAACGTACAGGTCCGACTTCGATCAACTCCTGTGAAGAGTGAAGAGAGAACAAACACAAATCCAACACCAGTTTCATCCAGGAGACTGTTTGAGTGATTGATCAGATGAACTCAGTTTTCTGAGTAACTGTGAAAAGCTGTGATTCACAAATTGATGGAAGAGCCGTGTTTTATTTACTTCTGATTTTTTAAGCTTTGATAAGAAAAGTCTTTTAAAAAACATTTTGATACCCTTCTCTGTTTACATGAATTTTAAATCTGTTTTATTTTTTAAAATGTCATTTTTAAATCTGACATCTGCCTTTGTATGACTAATAATGTACATAATGTCTTTGTGAGAGATTTTTGCATCTCTTTGAATTGAATTTTGACTTTTTTTGTTAAATTATGACAAGGGGAATAATGATGTGACTGAAAACATTGTGAAGTATTATTTCTTTAGTCATAAATGAATTTGTTATTAAAAAAAACAGCACAGACTGCACACCAGAAGCTGCTGTGTTTAATTCACCTGATCAATAGTGTCATATTTCCCCTGAATGAGTTTAATCAACTCAACATGATGAAAGTACAAGAAGAAAATATAATTTTTCATGTATATCCATCAATTCAAGCTTTGATCCTGTTATTTGTTTAGTGTTCAGACTTTTACTTAAATGTCAGCTGCAATGTATTAGCATCAGTTACAACTGCCCTCCACCAGAGGTCGCTGTTGGCTCAGATTTAGCTCTTTAAGATTAAAAAAAAAAAACACTGGGAGCTGACTGGACCTTTATCAGCGGGTAAGTGGGACAGCTTTGAGTTTTACAGACTAACTCGGCGATTTTAAACTGGGATAAAGACATTTTACTAGTCGTAGAGTTGTTTTGTATTGAATGAAATTCAACAAAACTACATCATCATTTAATTTGTTCTTTGTATGTATTAGTTTACGTCATAATTGCGGCCAATGATCTCCCACTTCCTCTTCCTTGCATGGGAGGGGGGGTTAAAGTCCGATCACAGTGGACCAGAATATCTGTTGGGTCTTATGGTTGGCACCCTCTCTGCTACTTTCACACCTGGACGTTAGCCTAATAATGTGTAGCCTTTATTAAGAAAGTAATGAGGTGTCTGTCATTTTTAGCTTTCATCTGTTTGTTTGGAGTCTTTGACAAGGGTGAGAAAAATCCTTCAATTACTTTCATGAAGACAATTTATTTTACTTGAACTGAAAGCAGAAGTGTGTGACTCTTGGATCATATTTTATTGTGTTATAAAGTAGTTGTGCGATGTTTCTTATTTTTGTAATATGTGATAAATAGCCTGCGACTTGCCTCAACAGGTGAGTTAGACTTCAACTTGGAGACGTTTATCTCAGCCCTACTTTACACAGTGAATAAAGGTGTGGTTGAAATTGTGACCTGAAAGTAGATTAACAACCAATTTAATGACCTAATGTTCATTTTTAACAGCTTTAGAGTTTGTTCAGTATTGACGTGTCAAAGTGGGATTTAAACAATTCAAAATGGAGACAGTAAAGTTGTCTTTCTTTTTTGCATTGTTGCTCCGGTGTAAGGACTGTTGCTTGTAAAGGCACATGACCGTATTAAGTGTGACATTACAACTCTTAAATTCACTTCACCCTGCATGTGTTAATTGTCATGGGCTAAATTTCATTCAGTAGGCTACCTTATGAACACTGAATATTTGATTGAAATTGACCTTGTATTTCCTTCAGCCAGTCTAAGAGTGATACTTACACAGAGGAATGTGAAGGCCCAACCAGGAGAAGAGTCTTCTTTCAGGTGTCAGCTCATGTCACCAAGAGATGTTATTCAAGTCACCTGGCAGAAATATTTACAGGATAGGACGAAGATCATTGCCACTGATAAGAAGTACTCTGGTCAAAGAGTGGAGCCTGAATTCAGCAGCAGAGTGGTGTTTAAAGACACTGGACTGCAGAACAGCTCCATCGTGATCAGGGAGGTGACGGAGCAGGATGAAGGCTGCTATTGTTGTTTGTTTGACACCTACCCTGATGGAGCTCTCGATGCTACAACCTGCCTCAAACTCTACGGTCAGTACCTGCTTTAGTAATACAACACATTCATGTCATCCCTCAAGTTTCTTCTATAACTTTCATCTTGTATTTTCAGAGCTGCATGAACCCGTCCTACATGTGAGAGAATCAAACTCTTCTGAAGAGGTCGTTGTTTCCTGCTCGGCTACGGGTCGACCCGCCCCCACTGTGACAATAACGCTCCCTCACCAAGACTTGAACTTCCACAACACTTCTGTCTCAGTCAGGAACAACAACAGTACAGTCACCGTCACTGAGACAGCTGTGCTCTCTCGTCGTCATGACAACAGCACACAGGTCGGGTGCACAGTAGGGGGCTCCTATGGCGTTCACAAAGAGGTGTTTAAGATGATCCCTGAGGTCAAAAAGTCGCTCCCTGATGAAAAGTCAGGAGTTAATAGCAGGAGTCGCAGTAAGTAAATGATCAGATGTAGATTCTTTAAAGTTTGTCTGCATCATTTTAAACATTTTCTCCTCTTTTTCCCTCAAAGGTACAACTTTAATCATTATATTATCAGCTTTAACAATCTGTGGTATCATCACTGCAGTCGTCTTCCTCCGGCGTAGACACAAACCTCAGAACAGGTACTTCTTCTAATCAATACTTATGTGTAAGTTTTTAAATCTATAAATGTTTGTCCTCCTCTAACTGTTCTGAAATCCTTCAATCTGTCACACGAGGTCCATATGAATGAGAAACCAGGAACTACAGATGAAGACCCTCAGAAGTAAGAAACCATTAGTTCTCTTAAATCTGTTACATTTTGTACGTCCTGCCTTCCTCCATATCTTCCTACTCAAAAAAAAACAAATCCTAAAGTATGACTTCTATTGAGAGATTAGTTTATATGTTTTGTTTTCTTTCTCAAGGACCCAAGAGTCTCCACAGGAGAACGTACAGGTCCGACTTCGATCAACTCCTGTGAAGACTGAAGAGAGAACAAACACAAATCCAACATCAGTTTCATCCAGGAGACTGTTTGAGTGATTGATCAGATGAACTCAGTTTTCTGAGTAACTGTGAAAAGCTGTGATTCACAAATTGATGGAAGAGCCGTGTTTTATTTACTTCTGATTTTTTAAGCTTTGATAAGAAAAGTCTTTTAAAAAACATTTTGATACCCTTCTCTGTTTACATGAATTTTAAATCTGTTTTATTTTTTAAAATGTCATTTTTAAATCTGACATCTGCCTTTGTATGACTAATAATGTACATAATGTCTTTGTGAGAGATTTTTGCATCTCTTTGAATTGAATTTTGACTTTTTTTGTTAAATTATGACAAGGGGAATAATGATGTGACTGAAAACATTGTGAAGTATTATTTCTTTAGTCATAAATGAATTTGTTATTAAAAAAAGCAGCACAGACTGCACACCAGAAGCTGCTGTGTTTAATTCACCTGATCAATAGTGTCATATTTCCCCTAAATGAGTTTAATCAACTCAACATGATGAAAGTACAAGAAGAAAATATAACTTTTCACGTATATCCATCAATTCAAGCTTTGATCCTGTTATTTGTTTCGTGTTAAAATGTTCTAACTCAATGTCAGCTGCAAATGATCAGCAGCAATTACACATTTTGTCCACTAGGGGTCGCTTTTGGTTCATATTTAATTAAGTTAGTTAAGTGTAGCGATTATTTTCTCTTAACCTCATTTCACCTGCTGACTGTCATCTAACAATATCAGTCAGTTTATATATATGAGTTTTAATGACTCAGTCCAGAATCATCTGTTTGTCTAATAATTTAATATAATAATGTAGAAAAAGGTGCAATGGAAGAGCTGAACAGTTGTGCATCAATAACGTGTAAATAACTTCGTGTCAGCTACTGCATATTATCAACAGCAGTTGCACCTCATGGCCACTAGAGGTCTCTGTTGATCCAGATTTTAACCAACACGTGCGGCTTTCTGTACTTTCACTTTGGTGGTGGGTGAATGAAAGATATGGCGCAGCGTGCACTTATTCTCTCTTTATTTGTGCTGACAGTCTCTCAGAAAGGTAAGAAATGTTTAATGCTCAGGCTATAACTTTTAGTCTTTATGTATTTTTTGTTAATCTGAACGCAGCTGTTCCTGTTTTCTAAATTAATTTTAGTTAGGTATTTTCCCGCCACATGTCTGGCAGTTTATTTGAAATACTTTTGCATAGTTCCTGGTTTAACTCATATTTTGTTTGATATTTTGCAGAGAAAGATGAACCCGGCTTCATCAGTGTGTTTGTAGACTACCTCATATTGTAGTCTGTAACATAGCAACCAAAGTGATAGAGTTTCTGTTGTGTCTGAAAACACTGAAACATGCAGCCTCACTCACACTAGATTAACTTTTATTGCTTTGAGATCACTTTTTGAATGATTTTGAGTTATAGATGTAAAAACTTTGTTAAAAATCCATGTGTCTGTGCCTCTTAATTGTGAAAATTATTGATTAAAGGAATCAAGTTTTGAGTCAAACAATGTTTCTGTGTCTCTGCAGCTCCAGCAGCTCTGATACAAACTCAGCACACTGTGATGGCAGCAGTGGGAGAACAGGCCTGCTTAAACTGTCAGCTCATGAAATCTAAGGACGTTCATCAAGTCACCTGGCAGAAGATTCTACCTGACAGAGAGAGTAATGTGGCCACCTACAACAAATATTTGAAGAAACTGTTGAACGCTGATTTTCAAGGGAAAGTGGAGTTAATTGATGCTGGACTGCAGAACAGCTCCATCCTGATCAGGAACGTGACGGAGGAGGATGAAGGCTGCTATCGCTGCATGTTTAACACCTACCCTGATGGTACTCTCATTGCCACAACCTGCCTCAAACTCTACGGTCAGTACCTGCCTTAATATAATATGATAGTATGATAGTAATACAACACATTCATGTCATCCCTCGAGTTTCTTCTATAACTTTCATCTTGTATTTTCAGAGCTGCATGGACCCGTTCTTCACGTCAGAGAATCAAACTTTTCTGAAGAGGTCATTGTTTTCTGCTCAGCTACGGGTCGACCTGCTCCCACTGTCACATTAAGTGTCCTGCATCAAAAACTCAACTTTTCTACACACAGTTTCAAAAACACAAACGGTACGGTCACTGTTTACACCACATGTGTGCTGAGGCGTAGCTATGACAACAGCACACAGGTTGAATGTGAAGTTCAAGTGCCCTCTGTTCCTCTGAAGAAGGACTCTGTGATGATTCCTGCAGTCCAGCTGTCGTCTGAAGATGGTGAGAATCATTATTATACATTATTATTTCTACACATGGTCAACGTTTGTATTTATGAAGTTTTTTTTTTTATCAGGTTCAAAGATCGACACTGGATCTAATGACGCTGGTATTACTCTGGTCATCGCAGCAGTTGTGATAGTCTCTTTAGTGGTTCTTCTGTTCTGTCTTCTGTGCTTTCTGAGACGAAAACTACTGAACAGGTACAGTTTGCAATACAAGTGTTTGTTATTATTGAACAGTTTTTTTTTTACTCCTAACCCTGTGTGGATGTGATGATTGATGTCAGTGTTATTTAGCCTGTCTCAGCACACTGAAATAGTTCCCTTAAATTAAGCTATGCTAACATTAGCTGTAGCATGGCTCAAGGCCCCGCTTGGCCTCCTGTGGATCCTCTTGAAGATTATCATAGATTATTAACATAAGACTGCTTTTAGTGCTTTGATTTATGTTACTCTACGCTAGCGCTGAACTGTTGTTTGTTATCATCACTTTATGCTGAATTCCCCCATAATCAGTTCTTCTTTGTGTTTTTCTGATTTCCATCCAGCCCCAAATCTTGGTGTAAGAATAAGGAGGACCCTGAGGTGATCAAAACACCGCTACCTACTGAGAAACCTCTCATGTGAGACAATTAATTTTTTATAAGAATGTTGTAAATATTGTTTGTTGATATAACCAATAAGTGTTGATGATTGTTGAAGAAATTCACCAGAATGTTTTTTTCCCCCTTAAAGGAACAGAACGACTTTAATGCTTCAACAGAACGAGCAGGAGGGCCTCAGGCAGCGGACACCTCCTGCTGACAAGATGATCAACTTCAAACAACAAGCTTCATCTCGGACACCACAGTGTAAAAAAACACAAACTCTTTAGTGATGCAGAAACACACAAGGTGACAAAGTGAACAAGAGTGACTTCAACATATCAGTCCAGATGTTGCAGCATGTTAGAGGACACACATCTGTGTCTGTTGATGAGTGTTAAGTCCAGCAGATTCTCTTTTGAATCCGTATGATGCTTTTATTGTCTTTTTTATGCATCTCTTGTTTATACATTTTGATATACTTTAAAAGAAATACATTTAAATTCTGCAGCTTCAATTTTTATTTATTTCTTTATGATTCTTCAAACCCAAAAATGAACTTACCATAGACCAGTAGTTTACTCTAATGTTGGTTATCTTCACTAATACCTGAAATAACAAATCAGAATTTATGTATGTTACATTCCTATTTTATTACCCCTGTTGCCATGGCATATGAGGCATTTGCTTCCTTTTTTATGCATCTCTTGTTCATACATTTTGATATATTTTTAAATAAATACATTTAAATTCTTCAGCTTCAATTTTCCTCATTTCATTCTAAATCTTCATTTAAAACAAACCCAACAATGAACTTACCGTGGACCAATAGTATACTCTGATGATACATAATGAATGTTGGTTACCTTTCGGTTTTACCAGAAATAACAAACCAGAATCCATGTATGTGTCATGGTTGTGTGTGATAGGTCCACAAGAGATCATTTACAATAAAATGTATTTGTTCAGCATTTCCAAACCAGTGACCCCATGTATGACCATAATACTTATTTTGTCAGAAAGTGACAAAGTGTCCACATTTTCCTCCTTTTCTAACCACAGGATGTATTAACTGCAGTGCTGTGAGTTCAGCTGCAGTTGCACAACATGTCCACTAGATGGGGTCTTTGTTATACTTTTTGTTTTTGAATACTGCCCGTATATAATAACCACTACTGTATTTTTCTTTGCTTACTCTTTGAACGAAACATGAAGTATACACTAATAATGAATCATGCATGTTTGTGAGCTTTAATGCCAGCAGAAATCATAATAATTCAAAATCATAGATCAGGGAGGGACCTCGTGGCCACTAGAGGTCTCTGTTGATCCTGATTTTAACCAACACATGGCGCTTTCTGTACTTTCACTTTAGTTTGGTGGTGGGTGAATGAATGATATGGCGCAGCGTGCACTTATTCTCTCTCTATTTGTGCTGACAGTCTCTCAGAAAGGTAAGAAATGTTTAATGCTCAGGCTATAACTTTTAGTCTTTATGTATTTTTGTTAATCTGAACGCAACTGGCTGTTCCTGTTTTCTAAATTAATTTTAGTAAGTTTACTGTATTTTGGCGCCACATTTCTGGCAGTTTATTTGAAACACTTTTGCATAGTTCCTGGTTTAACTCATATTCTGTTTGAAATTTTGCAGAGAAAACAAACCCTAATGAACCCGGCTTCATCAGTGTGTTTGTAGACTACCTCATATTGTAGTCTGTAACATAGCAACCAAAGTGACAGAGTTTCTGTTGTGTCTGAAAATACTGAAACATGCAGCCTCACTCACACTAGATTAACTTTTATTGCTTTGAGATCACTTTTTGAATGATTTTGAGTTATAGAGGTAAAAACTTTGTTAAAAATCCATGTGTCTGTGCCTCTTTATTGTGAAAATTATTGATTAAAGGAATCAAGTTTTGAGTCAAACAATGTTTCTGTGTCTCTGCAGCTCCAGCAGCTCTGATACAAACTCAGCACACTGTGATGGCAGCAGTGGGAGAACAGGCCTGCTTAAACTGTCAGCTGATTCAAACCAAAGAAGTTCATCAAGTCACCTGGCAGAAGATTCTACCTGATGGAGAGAGGACCATCGCCACTGACAACCTGCACTTCGGTCAAAGAATGGACCCTTACTTTAGTGGTAAGGTGGAGTTTCGAGATGCTGGACTGCAGAACAGCTCCATCCTGATCAGGGAGGTGACGGAGGAGGATGAAGGCTACTATCGCTGCATGTTGATGATAATCTGTACATATGCCCGCCCTCCCTCAAGAAGTAGTAGGGGCGGGCTTTAGTGACACAGAGCTCCTGACCAATATTTACAGTCTATGCTCCTGACCGACTCCGTCCATTGGTTCAGTCAGCAGTAACTGACATGAAAGGAGAGGGAGGGCTTTAAGGGAGAGAGACCTAATATTTACAGTCTATGAGAGAGACACGAGACACGAGACGGGAGAGAGGAGAGCGCACCGGAAGTTGACATACTTACCGTGTTGCTGTTTGAAGGTAAGGGACATTTAATACCTATTTTGCGCTTGCAGTCATCCTGCTTTCTGTCCAAACTCTCCGTGATGTAAACCATTAAAACACGGAAAAACCTAACTTAAATATTACCGCCTCCACAAGGTTTGCACCTGGTGTCATTCGCGCAAAAATTTCTGAGTAGATCACCTGCAAAACGCCCACCAACCAAACGTGCAAACTTTTGGAGTGATCACGCAATTTAGTACTCTTTACTTGGGAGCTTAGTAAATCTGGCCCTTAGAATACATTACTTTACTTGAGTAATCCAATGGAATACATTACAGATTACATTTTAGGACATGTGATCTGTAGGGGAATACATTTTAAAAGTAACCCTCCCAACACTGGTCATGTCATACACACCAGGGGAACTTGTGTGTGGAGATGGGACGCGACACTTGTTGTATAAAGTTAATTTTAAACTTCTAGCTTGCCATTATTTAACAAAATAAAGGGAATCATCCCGAAAATAAAATCCGGTGTAAAAGACGCACTTTTAATACCTATTTTTTCATCTTAAAAGTTGGCGTCTTATACACCGGTGTGATGCAGCTGAAATAAAAAATACTGAACCACGTGTCGTCATTACAGCGGGTGCAGCAGCCCCTATCACTGCGACCTGACGTGATTACAAACCTTACAGTCTATGTTAAAAACACATCCCCATTCATTGTGTAATGAAAGCTGAGTGCACGCTGTGCTGGGAAAGACAGCGACACAGACCAGGTTTCTGACTGCGTGACTTTTTCCACATCTTTTCTCCCTCACGAGGTCATAATCATGCATTTACAGAAACAGTGGTATATTGTTCCGTAAATAAACCTTGTGGAGTTCTCTATTGATTGAAAGAGTCCTATATTAAAGTTTAAGAGTGACCAGCGGAGTCACGCCAGCAGGTCTGTGTCTCACAACTTTGCCTGCAGCAGGCTGAGAGCTCAACTACCGTACTGTAGCTGGGAGTGCAAAGTCCCGAAAGTGAAAACAGACGGAACTAAAAGAACAACACAGCTGTACAGAAACTGCACGTTGTAGACATCGCTGAACGCAATATAAATCATCACGCAGGAAAACAGTTTAAAGTTTTGTTTTTCTCTCAAAGAGAACTTAAAAACAGGGTGCATTTGTTCCTACTTCATCTGATTCATTCAGTATGGAAGGAAGTGGCCATTTGCTGAACCAGCCGTATCTACCTGTTTCTTTTTTTTGTTTAGCTTTATTAAAGAAGAGTAATGCTCATATACAGTCAGGTAAACAAAAAACAATATCACAATGTAAATCAAGTAAAAGATTAAATAACATACAGTATATAAAGTAAAGAACAAATGAAAGACAGTGATATGCAGAATATAAAGTGAAATAAACCAATAAAGACATTTAAATCATTATTTAAATAGAGGGGGAAAGGTTTTATAATAATGCAGATATTTGTTATTTTCTGTTGTTAATTTAAAGTAGTGATTTCAGTCGGGACTTTAACTCTAGATTAAAAATTGATTCAATTAATCCACGCTCGTTTTGTTTTGATTTGGAGGCGGACGTGAAGTGACGATTTACGTTTAATTTCACACAGCATTGTGGGTAAAATACAATTAATTTCCTGAAAGCACACATCCGATCCATACTGCATGAAACCAGGAAGTTAGTATCCATACTGAAATGTTCAGCATACTGAAACTCCATACTGAATAGTACTGCCTACTGAACTGTGGCTATTCGGAGAGGGCCCCTGTCTGTGTGCCACTCATGGCTCCAACATACCAGGACGATGACGTCACCCAGGTACAGCGACGCTTTAACCAATTGTTCTTTACATTTTGGCAGCATGTGAGAGACATTATGGGTGAAAGATGGCAAACAGCGCCCTCTTACATTTCCTCTTCTTGTCTGCAGTATTTCACAAAGGTAAGAAAAATGTGTTCAGTAATATTTGTGTCACATTTTGCACATGTCCAAGTTATTTACACTCACCTTACTCACAAAGAACAGTTACAGTTGTTACTGTGTACTCATGTTTACGGCTTTGGTGTATACATATTTTGGAAGAATGCAAAAGTTGAACAAGTTGATAGTTAAATTTAAGTTTTTAATCAAATCATGCATTGGAAAAAGAAAAGATAAGTGGTGAAATTAGAAAGTTGGAGAAGTGAAACAATTCTATGCTATATTTCCGAACTGAATACACAAACTTTACTAAAAAGAAAAAATGGGTCCCTGAGGACATTTTGTGTATAAAGTTATGAACATATACCACAGAATCTGTACATTTCTACCAAAACTACATAGTGCACCTTTAACGAAGTCATAGGAAGAGGTGGTGTTTAATAAATGAAGGGGTGGTGTGCCAACAGAAATAGAAACACCTCCCTATAATAATACACAGTCCAGTACATTTTAACCTGTTTTAACCCTCGTGTTGTCCTCCCGATTGCAATACACCACCTGTCCTCTGGTCAAAAATGACCCGCCCGGTTTGACTGTAATTTAAGTCATATGACATAAATTAATTCAATCAATTCTGTGTTACACCTTTAGTCTGACTTCAGGTCAACCCATTACATGAATTTTCCCTTTTTTTTTTTTTTTTCCCTTTCTTTTTAATTTAGGGCCAATAGACCTTGTTTAGATAAAAGTATACCCTGTTTTTGAGTGGAACAAAAAATATTTAGAATTTATATCATTTTGAGTCTTTGACTTATCACAGAGTGGTATATGTCTATGTCTAAGTATAAGTTTAGTGAAGATGCTGTGTTTGAATCATTTTAATTTTTTGAATGGCAGCAAATAATAACACCTGCTGCCCTCCGGGGTCAAATTGACCCTGTCTGGTTTGACTGTAATTTAAAGAATATAAAGTGGATTTTTAAACCCAATTCTGTGTTACACCTTTCGTAACAACTTCATTCAAACACATTAGCACCATTTTTTTATTCCATGTGAGATTTAAAGCCGATAAGACCTCATTTACATGCCTGCATGCGAGGCAGGTAGTAATGTCATGATCTGTATATGCACTGCACTTTTGGGCACATTTCCAATGTTTTGAGATCACTCTGGCGAGGGCAGAATTTGCTCCTGTTTTTTGGGTGATGGGCCAGGAGGGGCTGCTGGGTGTTAGGGAGCTGCTGCAGAGGCCAAAAAGATACCTACTATTTTATCTAGTGGACATCGAGGCACTTATTCCTTTACTAGTAAACTGTACGGGGCTTTACTAGTAAACTAGGAAGGTGAAAACTGCTTCCCCTAGTGTGACTAATTGACATTTTAGCTCCTACTAGTTAACTAGTAAACATTTCCGAGCCTATGGCAAGCCCTTTTAACATTAAATCATTAAGAAATTGCAGATATCAATAATTGCTTTTTGACATGTTAGAATTCCAAGCCGACATATCCACAATGTCATTTTCAACTCAATTCTTACTAAAAATATTCATTCTTGATATCAAAAATTCAATTATTTGAGTGACAAAGTTCATTTATGATATCTACAATTGTTCTTACATTACAAATATCACAAATTAATTCTAGATATCTAAAATGCAATTCTTACTAGTTGAAATTACATAATTGATATGTTGACCAAAATGACATTTTGACATGTTGGAATGTAATTTCCAATAGTGAAAACTAAATTGCCACTTGTCAGCCAGACTCATTTAATGTTAAAGGACTGGCCATACCGAGCCTCACTAGTTAACTAGTAGACATTTTGCACCTTACGAGTTAACATGAAGAATTTTTGCTGTCTACTAGTTTACTGATAAATCTTTCAACTCTCTACTCGTAAACTAATGCAGTCAAAGACCTCACTAGTGCAGGAAACTGAGTTTTTTTTGTTTGTTGTTGTTGTTGTTGTCATAACTATTTGTTGACCCCAAACATCCAAGATCCAAGATGTTTTGGAAAGCAGTATGGTGTGATCATTTGCTCCAATGCACCACTTTATGCTGCGGGGTCATTTTGACCCCAGAGGACAACAGACGTTAGTAAATTCAATAAAAAACCCATAATTCAGTCAAATTCCCTCAAATTTACTGTAATCATGAAGAGCATAGTACTGAACAACCCCCATTATTTTCAGACTATTTGATGATTAAAAAACATATTTTTTCAAAAGATTGAATTTGGGGTCAGATTGACCCCAGGAACAACACATTCAATGAGCCCAATAATAAAGAAACATACACTTGTCCTCTCCTTCAGGTCTAAACTCTGTGATACAAACACAGAGGGTTGTAGCTGCAGCTGTGGGAGAGCAGGCCTGCTTAAACTGTCTGCTGATTCAAACCAAAGAAGTTCTTCAAGTCACCTGGCAGAAGATTCTACCTGACAGAGAGAGTAATGTCATCACCTACGACAAATATTTGAAGAAACTGGTGAACGCTGATTTTCAAGGGAAAGGAGTTAATTAAGCTGGACTGCAGAACAGCTCCATCCTGATCAGGAACGTGACGGAGGAGGATGAAGGCTGCTATCGCTGCATGTTTCACACTACCTGATGGAGCTCTCATTGCTACAACCTGCCTCAAACTCTACGGTCAGTACCTGCTTTAGTAATACAACACTTCATGTCATCCCTCGAGTTCTTCTATAACTTTCATCTTGTATTTTCAGAGCTGCATGGACCCGTTCTTCACGTCAGAGAATCAAACTCTCCTGAAGAGGCCGTTGTTTTCTGCTCAGCTACGGGTCGACCTGCTCCCACTGTCACATTAAACGTCCTGCATCAAAAACTCAACTTTTCTACACACAGTTTCAAAAACACAAACGGTACGGCACTGTTAACACCACATGTTTGCTGATGCGTAGCTATGACAACAGCACACAGTTGAATGTGAAGTTCAAGTGCCTCTGTTCCTCTGAAGAAGGACTCTGTGATGATTCCTGCAGTCCAGCTGTCGTCTGAAGATGGTGAGAATCATTATTATAATTATTATTTCTACACAGTCAACGTTGTATTTATGAAGTTTTTTTTTTTCAGGTTCAAAGGTCGACTCTGGATCTAATGACGCTGGTATTACTCTGGTCATCGCAGCAGTTGTGATAGTCTCTTTAGTGGTTCTTCTGTTCTGTCTTCTGTTCTTTCTGAGACGAAAACTACTGAACAGGTACAGTTTGCAATGCAAGTGTTTGTTATTATTTATTATTATTATTATTATTTTTTTACTCCTAACCCTGTGTGGATGTGATGATTGATGTCAGTGTTATTTAGCCTGTCTCAGCACACTGAAATAGTTCCCTTAAATTAAGCTATGCTAACATTAGCTGTACATGGCTCGAGGCCCCGCTTGGCCTCCTGTGGATCCTCTTGAAGATTATCATAGATTATTAACATAAGACTGCTTTTAGTGCTTTGATTTATGTTACTCTACGCTAGCGCTGAACTGTTGTTTGTTATCATCACTTTATGCTGAATTCCCCCATAATCAGTTCTTCTTTGTGTTTTTCTGATTTCCAT